TTGGGGTTGCTGGAAAGCAGAACATGTTCTTAAGCCCCAGAAATCTGCGAGAGTGCTGTCTCTTTGAATATCCAAAATAGTCAAGCCGCTTTTTAAACCTTCAAAATAGCGGTGCCCTCCGGACCAGCAAAAGTCCACAGCTCAGCCCACCTTTTTCTTCACCTTCTCCATCTGTTCTCCAGCCACCGTGCACAGTCCTCTGTGCAGTCCCTGGCTAGCAGGGGGATTTTTAGGTTAATCCTTAAGTCCTACCACCACAGGAATCTGCGAGAGCACTGTCTCTTTAAATATCCCAAATAGTCAAGCCACTTTTTAAACCTACCTACAAATATTTTTTATGAATTGGTCCTTTTAAATCTTTTTCATGTTGTTTTCAGTTTTTGTAAATACAAATATGTAAATATTTTTCCTTTTTATTACTTAGGGTTTATCATTTTCAAAAAGGCCTACCCCATCCAAGTTTATATAAAATACTGTATTTTCTTCTAGTACATCTGTGGTTTCATTTTTTTAAATATAAATCTCTAAAATATCTGGAATTTATTCTGATAAAAGGTATGCAAGAGGAATCAATTATTTTTCTTTTTTAAAAATAGTTTACCAGTTACTTTGAATGAACTATTGAATATTCAATATTCCAAGGCAAAATACTAAGTGATGCAGAAGCATCAAAAAAAGATAAAAGGAATACAGTCACTGTACCAAAAAGAATTAGTCGACGTTCAACCATTTGAGGATGTAGCATATGATCAAGAACCAATTGCACTGAAGGAGGAAGTCCAAGATGCACTGAAGGAATTGGTGAAAAACAAGGCTACAAGAATTGATGGAACACCCACTGAAATGTTTCAGTAAATGGATGCCGCACTGGAGGCGCTCACTTGTTTATGCCAGGAAATTTGGAAGACAGCTACCTGGCTGACCAACTGTAAGAGATCCATCTTTATGCCCATTCCAAAGAAAGGTGATCCAAAAGAACATGGAAATTATTGAACAATATCATTAATATCATACACAAGTAAAATTTTGCTGATGATAATTTAAAAACGGTTGCACCTGTATATTAACAGGGAACTGCCAGAAATTCAAGCTGGATTCAGAAGACGGTCTGGAATGAGGGATATCACTGCTGATGTCAGATGGATCCTGGCTGAAAGCAAGGAATACCAGCAAGATACTTACCTCTGTTATATTGACTACGCAAATGCATACAACTGTGTGGATCATAACAAATTATGGATAACATTGCGAAGAATGAGAATTCCGGAACATGAGGAACCTGTACATAGGCAGCAATTCAAACAGAACAAGGGGACACTGAAATGCTTTAAAATCAGGAAAGATAGGTGTCACAGTTGTACCCTTTCATCATATTTATTCATTCAGTATGCTAAGTAAATAATCCAAGAAGCTAGACTATATGAAGAAGAACGTAGCATGAGGATTGGAAGAAAACTCATTAACAATGTGCCCTGTGCATTTGACCCAACCTTACTTGCTGAAAGTGAAGGTAACTTGAAGCACTTACAGATGCAAAGATCAAAGACTACAGAATTCAGTATAATTTACAACTCAACATAAAGAAAACAAAAATCCTTACAACTGAACCAATAAATAACATCACAATAAATGGAAAAAAGATTGAAGTTGTCAAAGATTTCATTTTACTTGGATCCATAGTCCATGCCCATGGAAGTAGCAAGCAAGAAATCAGATGATGTACTTACTGTTCTGAGCAAATCTACTTCAAAAAACTTCTTTGAACTATTAAAGAGCGAAGATATCACTTTGAAGACCTAATGCACCTCACATGCATCTGAAAGTTGGAAAATTAATAAGGAAGACCAGAAGAACTGATGCCTTTGAATTGTGGTATTGCAAAAAATACTGAAAATACCATGGACTGCCCGAAGAATGAACAAATCTATTCTGGAAGAAGTGCAGCCAAAATGCTCTTTTATGGTCAGACTTCATCTCACCTATTTTGATCACGTGTCAGAAAGGACTAGGCAGGGACTAGCCCCTGGAGAAAGATTATCATGCTTGGTAAAGTGGAGGGTCAGAGAAAAAAGGAAAGACCCTCAACAAGATAGACTGACACAGTGGTTGCAACGATGGGCTCAAGTGCAGCAGGGACTGTAAGGACGGCATAGGACTGGGCAGAGTTTTGCTCTTTTGTACATAGGGTCGCTGTGAGTCAGATATGACTCGACAGCACCTAATGACAACCATGAATGTTCCATGCTTTTCTAACTACTGTGAAATGTCACCTTAATCATACAGAAAACTCTTACATATACTTAGTTCTGGTTTATTTCATTTGATTCTGGCCCCAATACACCATGCTATTTAAATTATTATAGCTTTAAAATAAGTTTTAATATCAGAAAGGGCAGGCATCTTCTCTCAACAGTAGCCTTCAGACATTCTCCAACATTTATACTTCCAGATGTTTAAAAAAGAAAAACAAACATATATAATAATAGGCTTGCAGAATAAAGGAACAACACAGAAGATGCTCTTAGTATAAAAAAGATTACCAACTTCTACCAGGATATACACACAAGCATTACATTGGTCTATCTTACACTTACTCCAGTTGCCACTCGAATATTTCCTGACGGGGGTTGTATTCCAGAAGGAGGTCTTCCTGTCAGCCCAATCCCACCTCGTGAAACAGGGCGAGCTGCTGAAGATTTATGATTACTGGCCATTGTTTGTTCACGTTAACCACTGTTTGGAAACAATGAATAATTCAATATTCCTTTGATGTTTCCTATAGTAAGATACTAGTGACCCATCATACTTTTCCTTGAAACATTTAATCTGCGATGACTTTTCTTGAAGCCTGCTCTTATTTTGTTCAAATTTGACATCAATGTTCCATTGTGAAGCATGAGATCATTCATTACAACATACCTTCCCCATCTCACTATCACCTAACCAAAATGCAAACCCTTTAGCTATCGATGTCTCCTGTACTTTCCTTCCACTCTCTCCCCTAACGTATCCAGGATCTTCCTTCTCTCTGTCTTTTCTGTGTGCTATGTTTCACGGCCAACTCCCTTAAATTATCACTCTTGCCATGAAGTACTTCCTTTTACTTCATACTCTCCTTAACAGACTCCTAGCTTTCCCTTGAAGATAACACTTTTAGTATTGCAGGCTGTTTTTGCTTCCTGTCCCACAATTTCAAAGCAAAGGAGTCAGTGTCACTTTCAAAATATTTTTTTTCAAAGTCTTTTTTAAAAAAATAATAAATAAACAAGATGCTCTTTCTTGTGGACCAGGGAATGGAACCATATTGTCTTGGCTCTTTTCCGGGCTGCTGTTGCCTAGGTACCCCTTCACCACGTCCTCATCTTTACTTAAGTTGTTTGTACCAAACTCTCAGTCTCTCTATCCCAAGTTCCACCACCATCCTGGACAATTTCAATTTGGGTACTAGATCCAGTGTCTAACATTCTGTCTTCATAGTCCCCTACTTCAATTTTAGTGATCATCTCAACTCTATTTCAATTATTCATAGCCATGAACAGAATTAAGAGCTTGTCATCACTTGGAATTGCTCCACCTGAAAAATCTTCACTGAAATACTCTATTCTCTGACCTTAACTCCTTCCCTATCTACAATTTTTCATCTTTTTTCTCATTATACCTCCCTTTATTCACTTCCTTAATTTGCTCATTCTCTCCCATTTTCAGACCTCTCTTTCATTCAATATATTATAGATATTATTTAAATTTTTGGTTGTTAATTTAGAGTAGCATTTTTTAAATTGTGGATTGTGAAAACAACCTGGCAGGTTGTGACCAAAATGCTTTAAACATGGAATAGAATAAAAAATAAAAGAGTTCACTGAATAGAAAGGGTAAATATTGTTTCACTAAGTATTTTCATATTTATGTTGTTGTTGTTATGTGCTGTCTTGTCAGACCCGACTCACAGCGACCCCTCCTTGGGTTTCCAAGGCAGTATCACTACGGAAGTAGATTGCCCCATCTTCCTTCCGAGGAGTGGCTGATGGGTTTGAACCTCCGGCCTTCTGGTTAGCAGTCAAGTGCTTTAGGCATTACGCTACCAGACCGTCTCATATTTATGTAAATTACTTCTATTTTTTTCTACATTCTTGCATCTTATCTCATTGTGCTGATAATGTATAAATCAATGTCTATAGTTAGGCCCTTTAAACTGAGCACAATTTGAAATTTTCAAGTGTTCACTGAAATTTTCATTCAGATATCCTATTTTCATATTGAACAGGTTCACACCAAATTTATAATCTTCCCATCTCATGAAATTTCCTGATTTTCTTGCCACTTTGAATTCTGTAGATAAAATTATGAAATTATTTCAAATGTAAAACGGAGCTTCAATGAAATCGCTTTTAAAAATAAAAAGCTTATGATGAAATAAACCTGTTTACAATGGCATCAGCTTTCCTGATAACTTTGAGAAAGTGTACAATATATAGAAATGCTAGATTAAAACCCTTCAAGTTTTCACAAGCTTCTAATAGATTTTCTTTGCCACTGTTTTACTGTAGTGAAAAAAAAACTTAGCACACCACCATCCCAAAGAGAGGAAAAAATAAATAAAAGTGCCCTAACTCCAGTGTTATTATTCATTCAACACAGAGAGGTAGCCTGCCTTTGGTCCACCGAAAAATTAGCTTTTCAACTTTCCTTTTGACAGTCACCAACTGTACAATCTTGGCACCTCATTTAACCCCTCTTATTCTCAGTTGCTTCATCTGTAAAATGGAAGTAGAGCAGTGAGCCCTACCGTGCAGAACTGTTAATGAAGATTACTGATGACATATATAAAACACTTGAATAATGTCAGTATTGTCATCATAATCCTCCCCAAACCAGCCATTCTCACATCTGTAAATTGGAAGGTTGCTAAGTCCCTTTCACTGTGGTCTACAGATAAAAGTTCGTCACTTTGGTATTTCAGTAAAATTTCTCTGAGACTCTTGGATAGTGCCCCCTGATCTCGGCTTGGCCAAGTCTCCGCCGGGAACGGTTGAGGGGCATCTCTGCGCATCCTTTGCCCGACTACAGCTGGCATCCCCCAAGGCCTGGCGCGGAACCCGAGGGTAACAGCTAAAAGCCTAAGAGTTTGCCTTTGTGTTTGGAGCGATCAGCGTGCACCGCCAAGGTAAAATCACGCAAGAGACAAGGAGCGATGGACCGAACCTGAGATTTTTCCCGTCCCTTCGCCTACCGGGAAGGCGGGCGGTTGCACAGCTCAAGGGCGCTCTAACCTCTTCCCGAGGCATCCACCACCACGAAACCCACCAGGGGGCCACGCGCACTCGCTTGCCACTCGCTGCTGCCGACTCACCCAAGCACAGATTTCTTTGGCCTTCAGGACTCACCACTATCATTGCGCATCCCAGTGTAGCCCGGCAACAGGGGCAAAACGGAAGTCAGCCAATCGTTGATCTCCAGTTCTCGGTCCCCAAGGCAGTGAGAGAAAAGTGTTCTCGCGAGATTTGACGACAAACTGTTGTGTGAGCACCTTGCTTTTCCAACGTAAACGAAAAGCGGTAGTTGCATGGAAAACAGAGTCGAAATTTTTAAATAAAACCTTTGATATTCTGAATAATCAAAGCAGCCCCTTTGAGTGTTGCGACACTCTTGTAGCAAGACTGCGGAATGTGCTTGAACTGAATATTTTATAGACAATGTAACGTCACGTCTATGATAGGAATTGTGTGCAGTAATTACGTGCTAGGCAGGATTGTATAGTTTTATACTCAAATCGGTAGTCGTTTTTCCTCCTGTTAGGACTGCATTAAGTTCCGATGCAATTCTGGCTCCATCCTTTCTGTTCATTGGAAACTGGAAGCTGAAATTTTCAGTTCTTTTGATCAAGGTTAATAAAGAAGGCTGTAAATTAAAAGTGTTCTTAAAAGAATTGTTTTAAAATAAATGTTAATAAATTGCTAAAGACTTGAAGAATTAATTCACTTTAAACTCTACCTGTCTATTAAAGTAACTTTCTTTTCTTCCAGTCTTCATGTGCTGTTAGGAGCCATCCAGACGGTTCCTACTCACAGCGAAAGAATGGAACCCTGCTCAGTCCTGCGCCATCCTCACAACCTTTGAGCCCTTTGTTGCAGTTACTCTGTCAATCCATCTACTTGAGGGTCATCCTCTTTTTCGCTCACGCTCTTCTTTACCAACCATACTGTCCTTCTTCAGGGACTGGTCCTTCTTGGTAACTGTACAAAATATACGACACAAAGTCTTGTTTCCACACTTCTGGAGGGCATTCTGACTGTACTTCTTCCAAGACAGACTTGTTTGTTCCTTTGGCAAGCCATGTATATTCAATATTATTAGCCAACGCCATAATTCAAAGGCATCAACTCTTCTCTAATCTTCCTTATACCTTGTCCAGCTTTCTAGTGCATAAGCCAAACCAAAAACCAAACTCACTGAGGTGGCGTGAGATCCCACTCATAATGACCCTTCCTTGGGTTTCTGAGGTGGTATCACTAAGGCGATTTGAAATATCATGGCTTGGATGATTTGTACCTTAGCCCTGTGACATCTGCTTTTTAACACTTTAAAAAGGCCACGTGCAGCACATTTGTCCAAAGAAATAGATCATTTGATTTCTTGACCACAGTTCCTGTGGGCATTGATTGTGGATCCAAGAAAAATGAAATACTTTACAACCTCCATATTTTCTGTATTTATTGTGATATTGCTTATTGGTCTAGTTGTGAGGATTTTTGTTTTCTTTATGTTGAGGTGTAATCCGTATTGAAGGCTGTAGTCTTTGATCTTCATCAGTAAGTACTTCATGTCCTCTTCGTTTTCAGCAGGCAAGGCTGTATCTTCTGCACACTGCAGGTTGTTAATGAATCGTCCTCCAATCCTGATGCTGTGTTCTCCTTTATATGGTTAACCTTCTTAAATTATCTGCTCAGCAAACAGATTAAATAAATAGAGTAAATAACCTTGACACATATTTTTCCTTATTTTAAACCACACAGTATCCCCTTGCTCTGTTCAGCCTCTTGGTCTTTGTACCACATGAGCACAAGAGTAGAAGATTGGAATTCTCATTCTTCATGATGTTATACATAATTTGTCATGATCCACACAATTGAATGCCTTTGTATAGTCAATAAAAGAGCAGTACATCGACAAAGAACTGCTAGAAATTCAAGCCAGTTTCAAAAGAGGATGTGCAATGAAATGTATCATTGCTGATTATTAGATGGATCTTGGCTAAAAAAAGAGAATACCGGAAAGATGTTTACCTGTAACCTGTGTATAGTCTTTAGATAGAGATTGTTTAAATGTGATTATAGCTATAAACATAATATACCTACATTTTGGATCTTTAACATTAATTACATATTACACATATTACTTCCAATTTGCATACATTTCTTACATCCAGATTTATTCTCTTAGAGAATAGAATTTTAAAAAAATACAAAAAGTTTAAAATAAATATAATACAAAATTAAATAATGTCATATGGTTGAGTTATTCCTTAAAGTTTGTAAGACATTTTCATATAATGATCCCATTTGAGTCCAAAATATGTGTAATAGTCATTTTTATACTTTTGGTGTAATAAAACACAGTCATATTTTTTTCCTTTGTTGGTTTGACTATAGAAACTGAAAATGGATGATACTGTTTTTCCTAGTCTTCCTTGGAATTTGGGCAGGGGCCCACTACTTGTTAGACTT